AAATACTTCTCCAAAACCCACTCCGGATGACCAGAGAGTTGTTCTTCGGACTGTGATTCGAGCCAGTCGGAGTGCATTTGGGCCTTCAGTATTTGGATGTGTTCAGGGACCTCATCGAGCTAAAATCATGCAGATCAGTTTTCATGGTTGTTTGTGTTGTGGTATTGTTGGATCTTACCTTCCCAGCTTGCAACATCTTTTTCAGCAGCAGGGTACCGTTGCCAGAAAACTGGCTTTCATCGAACTGCACACCATAGTGTTGAAGCTGACCGCGGACAAAGCCCCATCTCTGTACCATCTGTCCTCCCTCGTATGTCATTTTCGGCAGAAGCATGGCTTTGAGGCGGGCGCTGGTCACACGCTCCACGTCATTCTTGGCGTAAAACCTGCCATATTCGGAGGTGAAGTCATCGCGGGTAATCCTATCGCGAGTGTAGAAAGACATCTCAGCTAGGAGAGTGAGGATGGGCTCCCAGGTCCTTGCTGTTGATGTTCGAATGGATGCAGTGGCAAGATGTTTCAACCAAACATGTTTGATGAAGAAAAAGAGTTGAAAACAATGAGATTCAAAGGTTATGATTTTCCCACCCTGCTTGTGCTGTGACTGTCGTGTCTGCTGCTGCATGCACTACTCCGTAGATAGCGAACAGATTAGCAGGATGGATGTAATTTATTTCGCCCGGAGGCACTAAGCTAAAGGACCTATGCACGCTAACTACATTCGGTTCATCCAATTCTGCCATTGTCTTGTCCAAGCCCTCGACTTTTGCACCTTCAGGCCACCCGACGCCTCTTGTCGTATTATTAGCAGATCGACTGGGAGTTTATATTCTCCAAGTTTTCAGCGTCCTATCTTCAGCAGCTAAAGCAGGATCTGCTGGTTGAGGCTACGTGGGCCCCTTGGTCAAGTTCTCTTACTGCGATGCATCTATTCTCTGTGCGTCCAAATCCAGTCTTCCCGTTGACATGGCATACGTGATTGTTGCCCAAACTACCTTCATGTCTGGCGACCATTTCTTGGGGTCCGATGGCGCTTTTCCTCCCAGACACAACGAGAGAGCATGATGGGCTAATGACAGACCAACCCGAAAACGCTGGGCGCCCGCGCCAAAAGTACCTCCACACACAAATATCTGTGCGCAATGTGCGCAAAGGTACTTTTGGGGCGGACACCACCAGTTTTGCAAGTCCCCAAAACGGCAAATTATTTCCCTCAACAAAACAATACACTAAGATAGTGAACAAATCAATCTTGACAAGGAAACTTAGGAAAGCCCCAACGTAAACTTGGCCACATTCTTCCCGCTGATCTGTACTGCTGCCGGGACCGCACCCCCCATGCTCTTGACCGTCAGCGTCAGCTTCTCCTTCGGCCATAGCGTAACATAGTTATCTGACCAGGTCAGAGGTACCACATCCTGTCCCTTCGTATCCACAAGGTTCAGAATGATAAAGAACGCCGGCACCGACGACTTGTTCTCCAGCGTCACGGCCGCCATTCCAGCCCCGGCGCTCGTCTTTGTTACCGTGGCGGTGACATTGGCAGCCGCCAGCTTGTTGAGAGCCGTGTAATCGGCAAACTTGGTCACCGGCGTCACGTACCACTCCGAGTTTTCCCAGTCGAGCGTGTCGATCGCCTTGGAAATCCAGTACACATTGCGGCTGAGCACGGCTCCCTTGTCGTCTGAGAGTGCCAGACGCAGAAACACGACATCCTTGATGTTGTTCAGTGCTTTCGTAAGAGACACGATGCTTTTGCTGGTGTTTGGTGTGGTCGACGCCGAGACGGTGGTGTTGTACGTAACCTTGCCTGACGTGTCAATCACTTGCACGTCAACACTTCTCGCGCCCTTCTTGTCAAGCGAGTGATTGACGAGGTACACCGCCTTGTGTGCATAGTCATAAGCCACATGCTCCAGCCTCATGCCGACTTTTGTGCCAAAATAGCCTCCCGCCGGATGCATGTAGTAGTCCCAGATGTTCCAATGCAAGCTGGGAAAGGCAGCGGTCAACATCCAGTAGATGACACCGGTGGCAGGACGTTTGGCGTTCCACATAGCTGAGAATCCCTCGAACTCAGCACGGTTTGCCTCATAGTCCATAATTTGAGTCTTGATGAGATAGTCCTCCAACGATGTTGGTGCTCCCCATCGTTTCCAGAGCGCATTGTTGAAGATCTTCCGGGTGTGAAAGGACGAGGTGTCCGTCGACATGTGGAACAACTCCTTGTTGGGATTCTTCCACAGGTCATCTAGATCGGATGGTGAGAGGAATTTCTTCAGACTCGAGAGATCAGGTGTTGATCCGCCGGCGCTCTGTTCAGACCCGAGACCGAAGGCCGCGCCGAGTCGGCTATCCGACGGCTCGGTATCATACCAATAGTTCGGGGGCACCCAGTCGTAAGGCCCTTCCATCTTGAGTCCAGAGGGTCCGAGAAGGGCGGGATAGCTGCGCTTCGACGCCGAGGCAATGATGGGTACTTGCCAGTCTGCGGCTTTTAATGTGTTGACGTACATTGGGGTGGCCTTGTCGTCAGGCCAGTAATCGCTTCCTATCAAGAAGACCAACATGCTTGGATGGGTTTGCATCATGGCCGCATCATGCGCCATGCTCGCGTTTGCCGTCACGTAGTCAGCGTCAACCCAAACTGGTGTCGGCACCGCCAAATCGTTGTTGTAGCTCCAAGCCTCCCACTTATCACAACACTCCCAGCCAGCCATGACCATCAAACCGAGGCGGTCTGCAACTTCGTAGAACTCGGGGTGTTCGTTTTTGCCTTCGAGCCTCACCGTATTGAAGCCGAGATCAAGTTGATACTTGGCTTCGGCCTCCCATTTGGCCTTATCCCACCGCAGGAACATGTCAGGTGCATAACCACCACCAAGAACTTGGAAACGTTGTCCATTGACGGTGAACTCGGTGTCGTTGAATGCATTCACCTGGGATGTGACAGTGCGGAAGCCAAACTTGCCCGCGGAAAAGTCAGAGATGGCTCCGTCAGAGGTCGTGACGGTCAAATTGGCCTTGTAGAGCGGTTGTTCGCCCCAGCGCGCTGGCCACCAGATCGTGGGCTTCTGAACGACGTTGGTGAGGACAATATCTGTGGTCGAAAGTGGCGCGAGGGTGACTGTTTTGGTCCAGACAAGAGGCTCACCGCCGGCCTCAGCTGCAATGAGACCTGACGCGGTGATGGTGACGGCCGTCTTTTCGAGATTCTGCGCCTTTGCCTTGAGCGTGACGTTGGCGGGTTGGCTGCCCAGGGATGCGCCAAGCTGGGTCACGACTCGCAACGGTCCCAGAGCCACAGATCCTGTCTGCTTGACCTCCACGTCTCGCCACACACCTGTGCCATTATCTGCGGGCCACGGATTCCAGTCCACCCAACCCAGTGCAAAATCGTAGTAGTAGCTGGTCGGGTGTGCCTGGATAACCAGGGCATTCGTCTTGTCGGAAATGTCGGTAATGTCGTAGGTATGGCCACCATATGCTCCGACCTGGAAACTCTTGTCGGCCACCTGTTTGCCGTTTAGGTAGATATCGGCACGCGAGGTGATGCCGTTGGTTTGGAGGAAGAAGTGCCTGCCTGGTGCAGGATCGAGGGCAAACTCTTGTCGGTACAGCCAAGGAACAGTAAACTGCTTCGCATCGACGGTGCGGAGGTTGTCCGAGTAAAACAGGTGGGTGTCGTTGTAAAAACCGGACTCAATCAGACAGCCCATGAGGGTGCATTTGGAGGACTTGACGTGGTGCCATGACGACGTATCGACGCCTGTTTTCGAGAGCGCGGTCAAATCATTTCCTGTCTTTGCTGATGATTGGAGATCCCAGGATGGAATTGCTGCGATTTCACCCGGTGTGGAAACCAGAGCAGCGCCTGCCATTCTCAACAGGCCAAGGGCGATGCCGGACAGCGCGAGGGGCGCCTTCCATTCTCTGAGGTGCATTGTGTGCTTGTTTCAGGCCAAGGTCGCTCCTGTCAAAACCCAGAAGACCGCCATCGTCATTACATCATCACGGCGGACGGGAAGGAGCATCCATTTATCTGTTTCTCTCCGATGTCCGATCTCGCCCATTGCGTTCTGGGCCTTTGGTGCCATCAAGGTGTCAGCCGAGATGGTGTATCCACAGTGAACCATAAGTGACTTGCGTGGGTTTCATTTACATCTGGTTGCCTCCCGTCCCTACAGTGACGTCCAAACAGGTGAGTTTCCCTTCTTCCCCGCACCCCGAATTAAACGTTACATAGTGGTCCAGTCCTTGGAGTCCTCTTTTCTGCCCATTCGATAGTAGACGACCAGTCGCTTGTTTCAACATATATTGACTGCTCTCCAACCCACGGGACACTGCTATAAGCTTCGCGTCACCAAGCTTGCTGTTACGTATCTGCAAGCCGACAAATTCGGAAACCCAGATGATCTGCAATCAGCCTCCGACCTTCCCAGACGGGCACAGCCAGGGCCCTTCTCCACATTCACCTTCCCTATTCCATGTCCAGCACAAGACGGATAAAGTTGAGATTTGCACCCTACAAAGTTCTTGATATTAATTGGCCTTGACAGCACGAGTCCACGAGGAATGACCACAGCATATTGCTTGCACCACTGCCACCAAGAATATCTTCAAACCGTGAGGCTATCAAGCTGATAGATAGCTTCGTGCATTTGATACCTTCCTTTCCAGGTACCCCTTTTATTAAAATGATAAACCCGACAGCGTCTGGAGGTAAACCGTACCCGCATTGTTCCCATCTCGAATTCCAGTCACAAATCATCCCACCCACCAAGCCAAGCATGGCAAACACCACCAAGATCATTTGCCAGTTAAGATGCAGTGCGATGATTAGACAACAACTGCTTTGTCTGCTTCTTTCCCCATGCTACAAAAATGACAAATACGGGACCACATGGGACACATGGGATCGTTGCTAGATCAAAGTTGGCGGACTGCGTTTGTGGCAACACAAAGGGCGAGTTGAGACAAATATCCTCAACAAAAACAAAGGCAAGATGGCCGAGCGGTCTAAGGCGCTGTGTTCAGGAAAACTCTCGAGTTCTCTAGAGTATCGCAGTCCGAAAGGGCGTGGGTTCGAATCCCACTCTTGTCATGATGTGTTTCCTTGATCCACATCCAGGATGTGTTTCTTCGATCCACTTTCGCCTTCATCGATGGCGTGTTTCAACGAGTTGATAAGCAACTTATATTAACCTTTTGCCAAGCTGAAAGAGAGCTCGAGTGCGAGAGCTGGGCCGAGCCGTCGAGGGGGAGACCCCGGAAACGTGGCTGGGAGAGCTTAGGGCTTGATGTCAATGGACGCGTGCCGAGGTTTTATCGAGCTCGCTCAAGTCTGCCACCCAGTCCAGCCTTGCCAGCCGCCCGGGATTATATTCACGGCCTCTGACTCCAGAAGAGAAGGGTTCTACCGCATCCCGAGAGGCGACTGGGGAGGCCGGCGGGAGTCCCAGGCCTTAAAAACAAGCCCGTATTAATTAAATAAGAGCCAGCCTTCCCAATTGTCCTTCCTTAATATGTCACCGTCTACTGGATTCCTGTCAACCTTGAAGCATATAAAATCACCTTTCCTTTTTTTTCTTCCAAACTAAACTCAAAGGAAGCATATTAAATGTCCTTAGAACAGCAAAGCAACACATGCCCAAGCAACCGGCAATAGGGAAAATCCAGTCGCAGCCGCTCCAGCCGTCACCGCCGTGCTCGTAGGCTTACTTTCCATTGTACTCGTCGCCATTATCTCCGTCGTAGCGCTGGCGTTTGTACTCGTCGCCATCGCCGAAGTCATGGCGCTGGTGCTAGTAGCACTCATAGGCGGAAAGACCGACTCATACTTACCACAGGTGCTATTGGGAGACAGTGGGCAGTCCTCGGCGACACAGATGGATTGCAGGTGCGGACCCTGTGTCGGGATGACTGTCGTGGGCGGCGCACATCGAATGCCGAAGAGAGAGTTGAGAGCGACGCCGACGGCGGTGATGTCATCCTTCGCTACGCCGAACGACGCCGCGGCGAGGGCAACCTGCTGGACAAAGTAGCCCACCTCTTCTGGACCTAGGTCCATGAACTTGTGGACTTGGTACATGGACGCGTCGCCACCGTATGAAGAGAAGGCGCCGCCCATTCCGTATTCGGAGCAGCGAAGAAGGGCGCCGAAGAATTGGTAGAGATGAGTTAGGAGGAAACTGTTATTACCAGGTAGGTAAGTAACAGGTCAGGCTATGTTGTGGGAACATTGAAGGAGAGGCAATGGTGTGTAAGGTACCTGACTTACTATTGATTAGAGGTCGTGTCGTTGGCAGGCATGTTCTTCTTTATCGGCTCCGCGCCTCCTCCATCGAGGAAGTTGACGGATGTCCCGGATGTGCCTCCCTGGTTTGTTGACAGAAACTCGCCGGTAAAGTAGGGCACGAGGTTAACCGCCTTGCCGTTGAATTCGCCTGCGGCTAGGATTCCTGGGACGACGACGCCTACGTTTGGTTTCGTATCTTGAAAAACCCGGGGCGTTAATCGCTGACGGGACCTGAGGATGGGAAGAAGTAAGGCCACTCACAGTTGCCAATGACGACAGTGTTCACCAATACTGTGAGGAGGGTCAATTGGTTCTCTGCCGTGTTGTTCTTGAGCACTGCTGCCGTGTAATAGTCACAGATGGATGTGTCGGTCAGCCGCTGTGCAGAGGCAACTTGAAAGCTACCTGCCGCAGCAGCGGCGCTCAGTAAGGTATGCTTGAAGTGCATGTTCTCAACGTCGAGAGTGCTGGAGAGAGACTCAGAGAGTTGGTGATGGTATCAAAATTAGCAAGTCTTTGTTTAGAAAAGACTCGATACGTAGGTAATCGGTCAAGTATTTAAGATGGGAGCGCGAAGGGCCCGAATGAGGCTGGTCGTCTGGCTTCTGACGACAGGAGGCTACCTGGACCCAGGCCTGGGAATTACACGACCAGATGACTTCCTTCGACTTTGTGTGACACTGTCTCTAGAGTCTCTGCCTGCTAGTCCCAATGAAGGTCTAGATCAACCGGGATCGCGTGTATCCGCCGGAGCATACAAATCCCGAAATGTTGGCTGGCACCCCACGTCATACTTCCAGGCCTAGTACCAATGGAGAGAGACCTTTAAACTCGACCGTCCATTGCTCAAGTCCAACTACCCAGTGGATTGGAACTTTGACAGAGTCTCGTCAGCTCCCGCTGTCCTTCAAACTCCCGAGCCAATGGGAACCCGTTCAGGACTGCACTGAGGCTGATTTACGCCAGAGCTATTCCGTAAGGGATCTAGTGCTAAGTGTGTGTCTCGGTGGATCCACGATCCGTAGATCTAGTGTAAGATACACCTATCGTCTGCAATTGGTGGCTATCGCGAGTACTGATATCAGCCTCGCAGCCGCGCAAGGTACAACTCAACAACAATGTCGGCACACCGCCTTGGCCCGCTCGCTCGCACCGTTGACAAGACATATTAGACCGAGGCTTTCCTATTGCGTGTACATGATTGGGAAGGCCTCAATGGTTCGTTATCAGTCCAGGACCAGTCCGGAAATAGGTCCATAAAGGGATTCAGTGCCAAGTGCTCTCTGTAGAGCATCTGTCATCTCCATGCTGAACTCAGGCGTCGGCATGGAGCCAATTGTCTGCAGCGAAGGCGCCTGGTATACTAGAAATCGGTGGTGGTGGTGTGAGCCCCGAGAGGATTGTGGCCAAGCAACAACGGCCCTGCTGCCAGCTGCTACGGAAGGCGGGCAACGAGAAGAAACGGCAGCAGAAACACGCCGCTGGGGAGGCTCTCGGGCCCGCTCGAGCTGGATCCGTCCGCTGCGCCTCTCTCACATAGCGGGCGTTGGTCATGAGGCACTAGATGACGAAGCTGCCCTCGTCGTCCTAGTTCCCGCCGACCGTCCGCCATCCGCCATGCACAGTTGTAACCCAATCCCATGCGCGGTCGGCCGGTCGCACTCCGGGGAGTGGACGGGCCAAAAGCACAGTTTGGACAAGACAAAACGCCATAGCGCCCCATTGTATATGTGTTCTGGCATACTAGTAGGTCCATTGCACCAAGTATCGGTTTATCAGGAACATCCCCCGCCGCTACTTCTAATATCTTGGCTGAGATCTGGAACAGTTCATTACGCATCAATATTGCTCTCCAGTTCACAGTTGCTGCTTCCATTCCTACCTACATTCTGCCTTGGCCTCACTACCTAAATACAAGCAAATATTATGTAGGTAACACGGGCTACTGCCGAACATATAAGTGTGATGAGTGACACGCCGGATATTCTCGTCGGTTAACATGTTAACTACCGTATAACGGTGCGTACCGCTCCGGCGGCCCGCAAATGAATGTTACTTAGGTACTGGTACCTCCCTGCCCTATAATGGCCATATAATTACAGCCTATGATCGTGCATGCGCTCTCTCGAATCTCAACCGAACTCGAGTTGCTCCCATCAGAACGTGCGCACGCCTTACCAGTTCCACCACCACCACTAGACCAAGCGCAGCCTCACTACCATCACACATCAAATTCATCTGTGTATCAGCATCGTCCTAGATATCTCAAGATGGCAAGCCTCACCACCTTAGTCCCACTCCTCCTTTCCCTCTCCCTCTCCCCTCTTCTCGTCACGGTCAATGGCCAAGCCCAAGGTCTCTCCTACTGCGGAGACGCGCCCTATTTTCCGTCAGAATACACCTGCTATGACGGCGCAAAGCTCTGCCCCATCAGCTACGGCATCCCGACGCTGCCCTGTGCCGCCGACGGCGCGTGCTATCACGCGGGCATGTACGAGTGCGGCAGGAACGGGTTGCAGCTTTTGCCCGAAGCGTCGGCACCATTCACTCTGACCGTTCAAGGCGCGCTGCCTCGCCTCCAGAACCAGGCCGTCAGAGCCTGCGGCAACTACCTCGCCTTTGGCGCGGGCGCGAGGGAATGCACTTTTTGTGTGAACGCTCCGCCGCAGTACGATTGCAAGACGTACGCGAATCACACTGTGTTTCTGGGGAATGGGGAGATGGTCAGTTCCCTTCTTCTTTTCCTCTTTTTGGGGGTGAGTGGTGGTAGGGAACCGGAGGCTAACTTTGAAAATGTGATGAAAAAAGGCCGCGGATGTGCCTGGATCTCAGTACTGGTTCGTCAGTCCGACGGACGGCGTGCTGAAGTTCACCGAGGGCGGCAAGGCCAATAATGCAAGTGAGATCAGTCTCGCTGGAAAGGGGGTGACAGGTAAACCAAATCTCATCCATCTATCCTATATAGGTTATTGATGATCATTGCAGTCTACCAAAACGGCTTCTTCACCTACGATGGCTCTCCTTTCTGGGTGGGCTGCCTGCGCACCTTGCCCGGAGGCACGGTGGGCACGACCAGATCGTACCGAATCTACGCGCCGACGCCAGAGAACCTGGCCAAGACCAACTGCGACCAGATCAAGCTTGTCGCGAGCGCGGTGGCGTCCCGCAAGGAGGGCACGTACCTGTACCAGTAATCGGCCACTACCTTATCCACGATGAGTGCATCATAGATCCTAGACAGAAAAAACTTTCCGTATTCAACAGCATCCAGAAAGTGTATATAACCTATCGTCCATAGACAAAAAGAAAAAAAAAAGTCATGGTCATACATCTTTTATCTTAAGACAGCACTCGCTCATATAACAGGCGACACATGAATCTGCCAATAACTCCGCCAATCCCACCATTCGCTCTCCTCCATCGACCCGGAATCCTTTTCTTTAGGTGTAGTCTCATTCGTCCCCTGAGCAGGCTTCCACATACCCAGCCCAGTCCCAGGATCATACTTCGGAAACTCAGCCTTCTCCGCCAACAAGCCCCTCTTCTCGCCATCAACCAAAAACGCGAGAAAGTCATTCGCAACATGCACGTACTGCCTCAGTCCCTGATAAACATCAATAGTAGCACCAGTCGTAAAACTGAGCAAAAACGGCTCCAGCAGCGGCGCGTCCGTCACAGAAGGGTGCGACGTGCCCAAGCTCGTCATGAACCACGACGGATTGCCCCTCCCATTATTCGCTCGCACAATATCCTCGACCGTATCGAAATGAGCCCTACCGTAAAAGATACTGGTATGCGAACTCCAC